CACCCCCCCCCCCCCCCCCCCACTTAGCAACTGAAATGTTGTCAGCAAATCAGATACTACACCTCCCTTCTGTATCCTCTTCGCTACGGCCTTGCCTACCAACAAAAGCTTGAATGCTATAATTTAAGCCTTTTGAACAATTAATCAGCATGTACATAAATAATTGAAGTTCCTAGATCCAGACATGAATAATAACATATTAAACCGACTCGCATCTATTAACCCATTAAGCTGCAGAGCTTCCCCACAAGTAAAATCGTCTGGCGTTAAACAAGTAAAAAAATAATAAGTAGCGCGCACTGGGGCTCAAATTGGGTTAACTATAGAGAATTGGGTTAACTATAGAATTGTTAACTCATTAAGCTGCATAGCTTCCCCATTGACAAGTAAAATCATTTGGCATTAGACAAGTTAAAAAATAAGTAGGGCGCACTGGGGCTCAATGGGTTAATAAGTATAATAGTGTCTCTGTCAATAACAAGAAATTTTATGTTTGTGTGATGTTACTCTGAGTGTATATCCACACAGGCATATTTTTCAAGCCTGCCCGGTGTGGATATACACTCAGAGTAACATCACACAAACATCTTATTCACCTGAGTACATTACACCAACACAGCAGATTTCAAGAAATTTTATGTTTGCATGCAGTCAAACGATTTAATTTGGATTGGAAAAAATGTATACAAGCAATTGTGCCAAACAAACAGTGTGGGAAAGGTGTGGCTGTGTAGACCTAGATGGTCTAGTGTCTCGGTTGAGTTCTATAAATGAGTGTCCGAGTCAGTCAGACCATGTCAATCAAAACATGGGTTGGTCTGAAATAATGTCAAACCCAAGTTTTCAGAATTATATTGAACTCTGGCAATATCTGAACCTCTTTATTTCTGAAAGCCTTAAAATCAGGGTTTTGGTAAGGCTTTGGATAAGCATCAGGCATTAAATATTTGATATAAAATTAATTTAGATCTTTTTTACTACTAGAACATTACTATTTTTACCATTAGAACAACACTGAATAAGCCTGCATGAATTTTTTAGGCAAAATGTCAAGATAAAATGATTCACCCTGGGCACCCAAATATTCAATAATGCAAATATTCGCGCGGTGACAATTTTACATTTGCAGCAATGCAGGTTTGTGTTTTCGTTCTTATACAATTTGTATGTAACGTTTCTTACTCTACATAAGGTCACTTAACAAATGCTAAAAGTCATACAGTGTACGTTTTGCCACGGTGGTTTTGCTGAGCAGCTAAATTCGGCAGCTTCGCAACCTCGATCCTTATTTCTCAATTCGTGTAGTCAGAAATGCGGAAGTATCCGAATCAACGTTAAAATTTAAAAATACGTTTTTGTCAAGACAGTAGAATATTATGGATATATAAACGATTTATTATACGAAGTCGCGATTAAAGTATGTACTTACCTTTTTCAAAGCCTCTTTGTGCCAGTCGAGGTGCCAATACCAAGAAAAATACAGATTTGAGTCATTTGACAGAATGAGCAACTCCGATGTCAGACATTTTTAGCATTTCTCTTCCGTGAACAGGGACCGCGGAGACGGGGGGCTGGGGGGGGGGGCTTTAGCCCCCCCACTTTTTTTGACAGCCAAAATTATTAAAATAGAAATCTAAATGAAACTTTCTAAATTAATTAAATTGTTAAGATACTCTTAGTTTATAAAGTAGCCTAGTAAAAGGATTGCTTAGAAGTTTGTAAAAGGTCTAAATTTTGTTACTTTTTATGACGATGGTCTTGGAGATTTTTTGCTAAAGTTCCTCCAAAAATGCAGGAAATAGCGTTTAAGGTAATAGAAAATTGAACATTTTCCTTGGGGGTTTTATTGATATTTAGCCC